GTAACATTTATAATAAATACATTTCTGCCAACACATAGGCTATTTGTACAGTGTTAATAACTTCAAGTTAAATTACTATGGTGCTGAATTGACAAGCCTATTGGCGTTTTCCAATATACCTCATTGTCGTGACTGTTTACAGCCATCATCACTAGAACCTTTAATGTTCTCATATCACACGACTGTATACCAATTCTGTGTCACATCTGAATGGATCAAGCGACTTGCGCTGTTTATCACTTATAAATCGTGGCAGAAGCGCGGCGCACGTTCGTCAGTGCTGTGCGGGTGACTGATCACGCTCTGCTTTGACGCGCGGCTGGCGGATGCACCGGGTAGCGCTGCTTCACACCTTCAGAGTATTTGCTTTATGCGGTTTCGCATGCGCTGTCATTTAAAAACAGCGCCTAATATCGGGCAGGTCTCCCTCGTTTCGGCGATCGGCCCACTACTTGAATGGAATGTTCAAGTTCAAGTCTGCTTTATTGTCAATTCTTCCACATGTACAGCACATACATACAGAAAATTGAAATTGCGTTACTCTCAGACCCTTGGTGCATACAGATAGCACTAACAGTAGAACATAAAATACAGATAGATACGGATTAAATATAAAATAAAACTATACAAATATACAAATAAGCTCATGTAAAAAAAATAAATAAAGCAGCACAAGGCACATGGCAGATAGAGTGCAACTGTCGTCCCTCCTCCTTTTTATCCTTCCGGAGCTCCTCCGTGAGACTCGAGATCGGTGAGTGGCGCAGGTGTCGCGCATTAGCAATTACTTCACCGGCCTCGCTCCGTTCCCACGGCTCTCGGCCGTATATATATATATATATATAAAGAAAAAAAAAATATATATATATATATATAACGTTTTAAATTAACTATTAAATGCACTATTAAATAACATTATTAATCCTATAAAGATCAATTGTCAAAAGACCAGTGTAAACTGAAAATACCAACATGTGATGGACAGCTGATAACGCTTCATCCATTGAAAAAGTCCACCCCCTCTTGTTCTCTCAAAACAAAATCCACTGAAATATTTGTTACGAACTGTTTTCGCTTGTAACCGGTGTTTGATCTGTGCATATTTCTCTCCTGATTCAGACAAGACAACTTTTTCACTGGAAGAAGCGATATTATGACTTGAGGACTCATATTTTAGCCAAAAAAGCAACAGTTTGATTTTCCTTTATCAAATCCATCTTAATGATGGATATGTTTCTTACAAACACACAGCTTTTCACTTTACAAGATGTCAATTGGTGGATTGTAGTCATGTGGATTCCTTGTGGATTATTGTGATGTCTTTATCAGGTGTTTGGACTCTCATTCTGACGGCACCCATTCACTGCAGAGGATCCATTAGTGAGCAATGATGTAATGCTAAATTTCTCAAAATCTCTTCAGATGGAGAAACAAATTCACCTACCTAAGGAGGAGTTAATTTTCGATACATTTTTGGCTGAACTATTCCTTTAAAATAAAAATTTAAACACTGTGCTATGTGAATACATGTGTTTAAAAAAATGGGGTCTTTCCTGTTATGCAGTATCATTTGAGGTATAAAAAATGAATATGAGTGTAAATTCAAGGAAGTATTTCCAGGAAAGAAGCTCAGGCACTTATAACTTTAAGTTATCTGCATAACAGGTTTACATGAGGGGGTGCGTCCAGCTTGAAGTTATTCAGCTAAACCCACACAACGTCACAGAATTTATCAAATCCACTGATAATACTTACTCATGTTTGTTGATGCCCCTCTAAAAAAATATGATGCCTCCTAGATGATGAAAGGACTGGCTTTTGTTAGTTATAGAGACAGAATGGATAACAGTGTTGAATAATGGGATGAAAAGTGATATTGGTGACATAAGAAAACCCTTATGATTCAGTTAAAACAGCTTTCAAAAGAAAACATTTTGGTCTGAAATAATTTGAAAACCTATTTTATTTCCAAATATGCTTCCAGTCTTTTTTTTAATTATTATTAAAAGTAGGCAAAATGGCAATGACCATGACTCAAAGATGAAAATGTATTAAATGAATGTTATATTATTAATAATAATATTTTATCCAAGACAGGAAAATGTACTGCATAACAGTACATACTGTACATAAAGCTTTCTAAAGTGCGGAAGGAAATCCATTGAGCTGCTTGCTCAGCGTTTAGGAGTCATTCAGCACTACATACTGTACACGCTTCAGCTATTTTCTACGAAGTGGTTTTGTGAGGCGCAGAACAGCCAAGAAACCATTCTTGCGGAACGGCAACAAGCCGAGGAAATTACAGTATGTGGGTCCATTTACCTTTGAGTATAGCAACCAGTGCCAGAAAGTCCATTGAAGCAATGAGTGCACATTTGAAACGGTTGGTTATAAAGATGCCTTCTGTAAAGCAGCCACTGTCATGACCTGTACAGCTGTGCATCATAACATAACCGATATCGTGTTAGATCACTTGGACAGAACAAGACGAGATCATATTTTAAATATTTTTTTTATACATAATAATAGCAAAACATGAAAATCTTGAGTTTTCAAATACCTTGCCTTAAAAAAAGCATTGAACAGCAGATTCGTCATTAAAAAAAAAAAGTTACAATTTTTTTAACGTAACATTTGCAAGTCTAAGCATAGAATCTCTGTTTATAATTGTAACATTGTGTGTTTGTGTGTGTGTACACATTTTGTTTTACGTTTTGTACATGAATTTATTGTGATCTACTACTTAATAACTACCTTTTAACTAATTTATAATATGCTGATGATTACAACTCGCCATGTTACAACACTCACTTTGTCTTCCATTTATGCAAAATGCATTTTTGTTTTCTTTTAAGCTCATTTGGTTCGTTTACTCATTTTTCCTCGACGTCCTCGATGTGAAGTTGGTCCGTGATCCATCTGATTAATGGTCACTTTAAAGCAGCCTTTTGCAAATTTTGTACACAGAAAAAGTTACATAGTGCTGCTTTAAGAGATGCTCTCTGGCCTAAGAATTCACCCTTCACAGCCTGAACACAAAAAAGCATAAAATTCAATTAAATTCAAGTACATTACATTACATAAAATTATGTGGATAGAATGAGAGAATCAATATCCTTGTGCATGCAGTAATAGGATAAAAGCAGCTGATTAAGGCTATAATTAAATGTCTATGACAGAGGTTTTTCGCCATTCTCATTTGTCACAACAGAAAATAGGCCAGTTGGAAGAAAAAAGGTTATACATTATTTGGCATAACCTTCATACTGAATATGTATTCACTTAACAGTTCCAAGAAGAACAAATATCATAGTCCTCGAATAAATGAGATACACGTGCTGGCTTAGCCACAATTAATGATGGAACCATTGTATGGTCACTGAAATACTGATAAGTCATATACTGTATAAAAAATGCCCCTTTGTGGACTGATTATGTAGAATAAAATATTGACTTTTACAGAAACTGAGAGCATGTTAGAAGCTGCATAATAACCACAGAGCATGATATATTAATTGCATTAAATAAGATGAGATTGTGAAACTGATTAGTAAAACTCTCACCAACTTTCACTGTTTGTACAGCAGCAAACCATTTAGACCAAGTTCTTGTGAAAAGCCTCCATGTGTCCATTTTTAGCAGTCTAAATTACAAGGGGGCGGCTTTTAGAAATCAATTGATGGTGCTGAAAGGATTATGCAACGCACACCTGCAATGCAAAAATCAGCTCACTTTCCTGTTGCAATACTGCCGCCGTGTGGTCAGAAGTCTAGGCTGTATTCTATATATTCATTTAAACAAATCATAGGTAAATATGCATGTCATACCTGTTTGACCTCTCGTTTTTCCACTCTTGGATTTAAGAAGCTTCCAAGGCCATGCGGTTGGGGACGTCGTGGGACGGGCGATGTCCGTTTTTCTGTAGAGGAAGGTAAGAGGATTGGTTATTAAATCAGTGGATTGATTTATCCACATGGACCAGAGAATATCAAGGACAAGGAGTACCACTTGAAAATAAAAGTGGGAATGTACTGTCAATTAAAAAACTTAATTTAAAAGTTAAATTAAAAAAAGACTGACAAAAATATATATTTAAAACTATTTTATTATTATTATTATTATTATTATTATTATTCAATGTAACAGTAAAGTAACAGATTTAATGAATCCCTTTTCATTTGTTTTTATTCCTCTTTTGTAAGTCACTTTGGATAAAAGTGTCTGCTAAATGCATAAATGTAAATGTTCAAACTGACAAATAATCAAATATTTAAAACGTTTTATACAATCCATGTTTTAAAATGTAGTTAAATGTAAAAGCAAAATAATAAATCAATCAGTCTCTTATCAAATTGACAAATACACAGACAAGGGTTTATTTAATACTTAAAATGTTAGTTAAATGGAAGAACAAAATGTTGCTTTAAAGCAGCACTATGTAACCGCTCTAGCGGTTAGTAAACAGAACTGCACACATCCCGCGGAAGAACATTCCAACCGGAGCTACTTCTCTAAGTTTATGTCTATGGCGATTCACGCAGGTATGTGTTACTCCGCAGCGGTGACGACCCGACCAGGCTACAATAGTCCAAATATAAGTACTTATTATAAGTGTACCGTAGTGATTCGGAATAAGACAAAAACGCGTTTTGGAAGATGAATTCATGATGTACTCGCTCATTATACACATGTTGCAAAATTTGAACACAGAAAAAGTTACATAGTGCTGCTTTAATAACGATTCATTTTATATATTAAGTTTAAATGCAACTTGTTTTGAAAAGCATCAGCCTATTCCTTTTCTTAAAACATTTGTTAGTTGAATTAAAAGCATTGGAAAGTTGGACAACTAATAGCAACCATTGTTTATTGATTGTTACATTTGCCTACATTTTGAAACATTAATTATATGAACAGTTTACGTAATTCTATTTATTGGTCAATCTTTACACTTTCTTTTTTATTATTTATTTATTTTATTTATATTTATATTATTTTTCTCATCACAATAGCATTGAATGTTCCACTAAAAATTGACAACTAAAAGTATCTAAATACTTTTTGTCTTTTTTTTTTTCTCAACAGTGTGAGCTATCAATCTTATTGTAAATATTATAAGGTTTGATACTCTGTAGGCCACAGTACATGTCTTACCTCGTGTGACAGGAGAGACCTGCTCTAAAGCAGTAAGCAGCCCAGTTATTATCAATAATACATGACCATGTATTATTCATAATAAATGGTCATGTTTTATGAATACCTTTATGAATGCCATTTTATGAATAAGAATATCACAATTAAGAACATTTTAAGAATACTAGCAATGAATGAGTAAATAAATAAATAAGCATTTCATGAAACCTGGTGTTCATATTGAATAAACAAATTAATAAATTAAATCAACTAACCAATTAATCAATCCAAATCACATTTGTTAATGCTGCAATAAATGTTGCAATTCATTTTAATTAATTCTATTTTTCGGGATATTTCAGAAACACTACTAAAACTGATGTTCATATTAAATTAACAAACTAACAAATTAATATTTTTATAACTCAATCCAAATCACATTTATTGATGCTGCAGAATTTTATGAATACTATTCATAATATATATTTATAACAATATCATATTTTCTTTATATCATCACATACAAATATCATATTTTAGGAATACAATCAGTCAGTCACTCAACCAAACAATCAATCAATAAATGAAACATTTTAACAGAAATAAATAAATACATAACTAATTTTTTATGCACCTGATCCAATTCGCATTATTGATGCTGCAATACATGATCATATTTTTATGAGTACATTTGTTTTTTTTTTGTTTTTTTTTTATAACAATATATAAGGTATGCCATCAATGCATACTGTATTCAAAATCTGAGGGGTTAGATGGGAAGTTGGCAATCTAAACCTCAAACAAAAATCTGCAATATGGTCAATAAGACTTCACTCACCCTTAAAGGCTTCAGCTGCAGAAAGCTGGATGTTCCTGATGCCTCAGAATCCAGCAGACGAAGAAACTCAGTTTTTTGGCTCACAGGGTGAAATGATCCACTCTTCAGCCTCAGTCAGATTCTTGGGCTTGATGCTAACAGCATCCTCCACTGTTTTACAGTAAGTAAATTTCTCTGTGAAAAAAAGTGTGATCAGTGTCATCCCACATACTTAGTGTAAGCACATGTAGTAAACAATCCTAAAGGACAACTGTGTTGCTTAAAGGTTGTTCTTTACTGTAGCTGTTTTACTATATATGTTTTTTCAGTATTAAGCATCAGCATAGTTTGTCTCAGATAGAAGAGGAAGAATAAAATAACTAAAGACAAATAACTGGTACCACTTTACAATAAGGTCTTTTCTCATGGGAAAAAAATCTCAGATTCTGGAAATCTAAAAAATAAAATAAATAAAAAATCAATTTAGCGCTCAATTTAACCTCACTGCTGTCAAAGGGGAAACGATTCAGATGTTATCTCTTCTGTGATTAACCTGTCCTGTGGGACGAGACTTCCTCTTTAACTAGATTCTAAATTACGAGGAAAAACTCAACTGATTAGAAAACTACCAGTCATAAATGTTATTGACTCACCATGATTGGGTGATAAAAAGTTATGACTCTCCGCCGGGATCTCGGGAATTGAGCACACTGACTGATTGTCCTCATTACTGTAGCAGTTAGGGTGAAGGTTAAGTGTGCTCAAGAGCCTAAAACAGCAAAATAACACATCAACATCAGTGTGGAATCACTTTACAGTAACATTTGCAAACCCTCCAGCCAGTACTATAAAACATACAAAACAGAATTTTCAAACCAAAACCAAATGACAAAATCATCCCAAAATTACCTGAATGACAATTCTAGTAACATGAAATCATCCCAACATAACAGAACGGCAAAATTAATGTCTATCATGATTTTATGACCATTTTAACTGTAATGTAAAACGACCTAGTGTTTACATTCATGTGCCACATGTTTCTAGCCAGTGATGAGCATTTCATTAAAGTAAATGTTCATATTTGTTTATAAACCCATCTGTCCAGGTTCTATAAAACGCTGATTTTCAGAGAGTTTGATGTGAGATGAATAGTGGCTCACCTCCTCTCTGCATGTGTAGCTTCTACTGCGTCGCCCTCAGCAGAGTGTGAGATGATTCCAGATACCACACTAGGTAAGATCTTCTCTATAACTATATAAAAGAGGTGTTATTAATGTTGAGCATATCACAACAGTATGGAAGCTTTATTCTGCATCACAAGATATAACTTAGAATTGCAAGATGTAAACTCACATCTACTCGATTCGGTGTAGACTCAGTTGTGAGAAGAAAAGTCGGAATTGTGAGATGCAGAGGATCCCCAAGTCCAGGTGTGAAAAACTTGTTGCATCAAAAAGACTCATGGCTGTATTAGATCAAGAGGGTGCTTCTACTAAATACTGAGCATTTTTCAGTTTTTCTTTTTTAATAAATTTGCAAAAATGTCAACAATTCTGTGTTTTTCTGTCAATATGGGGTGCTGTGTGTACATTAATGAGGAAAAAAAATTAACTTAAATGATTTTAGCAAATGGCTGCAATATAACAAAGAGTGAAAAATTTAAGGGGGTCTGAATACTTTCCGTACCCACTGTAACTTTAGAATTGCAAGATGTAAACTCACAACTACTAGATACTGTGTAAACTCAGTTGTGAGAAGAAAAGTCGGAATTGTGAGATATGAACTCAATTGTGAGGAAAAAAAGAATGCAAAAGACCTTTTTTCACCATTGCGAGTTGTAAATTGAGAGAAAAAAAATCTGAATTGTGAGATGTAACAAAAAAAATGTGAGGAAAAAAATTGCTTGGAAAAAAGTATTGCAAATTGCAAGGTTAACTCAGAATTGTAAGAAAAAAAAAGAATTGCGTGATGTAAAGAATTGTGAGACAAAGTTGTAATTGTGAGATGTAAACTCAGAACTGCAAGAAAAAAAGTCAAGATCACATTATATAAACTCAGAATTGTGAGGAAAAAGTCATAATTGTAAGATGTAAACTCAGAATTGCAAGAAAAAAGTTATGATTGTGTGATGTACACTCAGAATTTAGAGGGGAAAAAATCAGAATTGCGTGATGTAAACTCAGAATTAAGAGAAAAATTAAGAACTGCATAAGGTAAACTCAGAATTGTGAGAACGAGGTATAAGAATTGCGAGATGTAAACTCGGAATTTAGAGAAAAAATAAGAATTGTGTAATGTAAACTCAGAATTGCGAGAAAAAAATGAGAATTGCGAGACGTAAACTCAGAATTTAGAGAAAAATAAGAATTCTGCAAACTCAGAATTGCGAGAGAAAAATGAGAATTGCGAGATGTAAACTCAGAATTTAGAGAAAAATAAGAATTCTGTAAACTCAGAATTGTGAGAAAAAAAAAATGAGAATTGCGAGATGTAAACTCAGAATTTAGAGAAAAATAAGAATTCTGTAAACTCAGAATTGTGAGAAAAAAAAAATGAGAATTGCGAGATGTAAACTCAGAATTTAGAGAAAAATAAGAATTCTGTAAACTCAGAATTGTGAGAAAAAAAAATGAGAATTGCGAGATGTAAACTCAGAATTTAGAGAAAAATACGAATTCTGCAAACTCAGAATTGCGAGAAAAAGTAATGACATAAGGCCTGGGATGAGAGTTGTGCTCTATTCACACTGTTCTCCATGTACTTTGGCAGCAGCAGCACCACTCTAAAAAGCAGAAAATAAACAACAGTAAATCCAATCATCTTTTACAAACAGCATAATACTGTTCAAAAGTTGTATTATTATTTTTAAGAAATTAATATTTTTATTCAGCAAGGATGCATTAAACTGATAAAAGGTGATAGTAAAGGCATGCATAGTAATATAAGATTTCTATTTCATTTTTATAATTTTATATAAAAATTTGAATTTAAATTATAAACTATATAAATATTTATGAATTTTAATAATAATTTATAAATTATTATTTATAATAATAATAATAATAATAAATGCTGCTTGAGCAGCAAATCAGTATATTATAATGAAGGATTCTGATTCTGATTCTGAAGGATCATGTGACACTGAAGACTGGAGTAATAGCTGCTGAAAATTCAGCTTTGCCATGTCAAATGAAACATTACAAAAATATTTGTAAAAATTGACTGCGCACTTTTGAATGATACTGTATCTCTACTTCTAAACCTGGATGAATGAATGGATGGATGGATGGATGGATGGATGGATCCTAAAAGGTGAGTCTGTTTCTTACCTTCTTTTCTTTGGTAGTGGACATATCTCAGAAATAGTCTGCCTGAGGATCTTAACTAAATCTCCTGGAGTCAACAGCCATGCAGACAGTGGACGGGGAGTTTGTCATTCATGTCCATCACCCACACAATCAAATCACATAGTTTATATAGAACGTGAGGACTATATAATTTCAGCTAACATGTATGTTTGAGATGAACGCAGCTGTACAGTAGTTTACCTGCTTCAGTTCTTACTGGCTGTTGACCTGCTGTTTCTTGCATTAGCATTTGTAACTCATTGGACTCCATATTTTTGCTTTCTATCAGCTGGAGATGAGCCATACCCTGCCACAAAAAAAATAAATAAATGGATGACAAAGAACAAATTTGTTTATACCATCATTTCACCAATTATGCCAGGGAGAAAATCATTACAGCATCTAGAATCACCTCGCATAGAGAGGCCAACATATTTCTTCAAATCCCACGATTCTCATAGACATGAATGAAGTGTTTGAACAGGTGAACATCTTCAGTTTGGAGTCCTCTAATCAGAGCCCAGGCCTCAGATATACATCTGAAACATAACAAACCATAATTATAACTGTATACTCCAATGTGGGCCAGTTACAAAAACACCCAAAGAACTTAGAGTCCTAAGAATGATTGTGATTTACTTGTTGTGTATTAACACATCCACACGGAGATTGATGTCATGTACCCTAAAAGAGCAATTTCGGGTGCGTCTTTTTAAAGACGAAGTTGCGTGGCAAACTTGACGTTACGTCTTTGTACAGATCTTGCTATAGTCTTGCTATAGACAACGTATCACCCGGGCATTTCTGGATGCGGTCG